TCATAAAAAATCCAAAGACCATTTTCAATTAAGTTAAAAATTACTTGATCAGACAAATATTTGATTAACTACATGTACATATTACTCAATTCTCTATTGGCTTCCCATCAACAATAATATCAAAGTTTGTTAGGCTCTTTTTCCTGTTAACAACACATTTATATTTTGAATAATCAAAATAAAATACATACACATTCAATAAAATCTCATCTTATTCAAAATAGATACGTATACATATTACATTATTACCTTTATGCATTGCAGTTACAAATCTTTCAACCTTTTCTTTGTCTGTGCTTATGTACAGAAAATCGTCAAGAAACCGTAGCATGAGCTATAAATTCAATTTTTAGCCAAGAACACTAACTCTTCGAAATCGATATATTCACTTACGCCATCATCATGCTTCACAAAAGGAAGCACTTCCTATTCCACCTCGCTATAATAAAAGCTATGTATTAAACGATTATAAGTCATCAATATATAAATATCAAGAAAAGAAACCAATTATCAATTGTGTCAATACGAACCTACAAAGCAGTATCGATACAACTGACCCCTGTGAAATACCAGTACACTGCCTATAATACTTGTCTTCAATCTATTAAAAACATAGCATACTGCATTTTATACGTTGGTTCGGTTCGAAACCCATTACTTTGTGCGCTTGTATGTTTGTTACTTTTTTTTTTAATCGATTTTGATTGTCGATCATGGGTGTTATAACGCTATGGCATTAAATTATAAGGGTAAGTAATTGGCGTTAACAAAATTTGGCACAAATTTCTAATTATATCGATATATAGTGTTTGAGCTGAAGTCTACTAATAAAGTATCGGCTCTAAAAATGACTCAGCTTATAGTTGTTTTCATTATTTTTGGAACGATAAGTTTTAGTTTTCGGTAATTATTGATTATGTAATAATGTATATATCTAAATGACAATAATGATACTCTGATTTCGTTGATTATAATTCTTAACACAGTTTCGATTGTTTGGAATAATGACTTGTGGTACGTATATATTTTTTTAGACAATCAATTCTTGTTCATTATTGACTTTTTTTTATTAGTGCTTGCACGTGTGATGCATTTATTATGAAAACTTGTCTTATATTCGAAACCTTTTTTATATTTTTTGTCAAGATCTGTTGGTTGGCAAGGACAATCTTCACCATAAATTTTCATATAGACTAAACACACCAAGCATACTGAACGTGCGTTCAAGTGAAACTTAATTTTGGATGTATCGATTGACAGATAATCATTCGGACAGTTTTTTACGTAAACCAGATAACTCTAGTACCCTAGCCATGGCGAAAACGAGGTGTCGGGTCATGTGATTTCCGAAGCTCCGGTCTGATATCTAAAAATCAAAACAATCGAAGACAACAGGAAAAAACCATATATTTAGGGTTAGGGAATCATATCATATAGTAAAATTTTGCAAGAAATTTTTTTAATTAGAGCGCAGAATGTGATTTAATAAGCAAAATTTTAAGCTATTTGCAATTTTTGAAAAACTTTATTGTTTTCGTAAAATTTCACGTTACACCAGATCCTGGATTCTGATTGGTGGGTGATCATTTAGAGCGTCGGAAATCACATGACCCGACACTTCGTTTTCGCCATGGCTAGGGTACTTGATAACTCTTAATCATATGATCACAGGCCAATAATAAACTCCAAGAAATGGCCAATAAAAAAATTAATTTAATAATTGCTATAGAAACGGTTCTGCTCTTAACGTTAATCGACAATCACTTCATAACTACCTTATTTCATAATCATAGGCAGAAGTTTGTCTGATTGGCTAATAAATTCAATTTAATTTTACATTATTTATATAGTTTAGAGTACTTTTAAAAAAAACGAAAACTAATCATAATGAAATAAAAAAAAACCATATAGAAGGTTTTATTAGAGTTGTAAGACTCCATAGCCAAAATAAGATCTAATTTTCGCCCGTTTAAAAAAGGTAGTATAGTAATAATTTCTCAAAACCAACTTATTACTAAGCTAATTTTTTTAAACGGACGAGAATTAGATCTTATTTTTGACTATGAGGTCCTACAGCTCTAATGAAACCTTCTATATAGTTTTTTTTACTTTATTATGGTTGGTTTTCGTTTTTTTAAAAAGTAATCAGACAGACCTATGAATTTCATACACATACAAATTCATTTTGCGGGCAATTAACTCAGACAAGTTCATGCCATAGACCTCATTATGTAGAAATTTATTTTCACTTAACTGCCAAATTAGTTATTAGTGTAAGTTATAAAAAACTTGCATGTGAAATGAACTATTAGTGAAATAAAATGTCTATGAACTTTATAAGCCTGATTGCTTTAAAAATCTGAAAATCAAGTGTTTATGAAATGATTGTCAATAAAATGATACGAATTCAGATAGAAGTCCGTTTTCAAAAATCTAAAATTCAGAAAAAATTTGCATCGACCATTTTATGAGCATAGTTTAGCTTAGATCAAATTAGAGAGCATAGTTTAGCTTAGATTCAACTAGAAAATAATATTAATTATATTCTATATATATGCATATATAGTATATTAGATCTGATTTGCAACTTAGGTATAATTTAAATATCTACTTTGAATAATCTAGTTTTAATATCTGTATTTTTATTTTTTCATAATAAAGTAGTTTTTGGGGGTTTTTTTTATTTTAAAAAAATTTCTTATATATATATATTTTTTGGTATCACATTAATATTTATTAAACTACTTGAAATTATATATACGATTACAAAATATTATTTAATACACAAGTTTGACATCATTCGGTCGTCTTTAAAATACCTATATGTAATTTGTCACATCAGTTTTAAGCTTGAAATAATGATTCATCTAATCTTATTCTATTATATGTAGTTTAAATATCTGTATATTTTAATTAGAATAGATTTTTTGAAATTAAATTCTTTTCTATATTATTGATCAGTTTACATATTTGTTGTATTTTTTATTTATTGTTAAATATTTTTTTACTATATATTAAACCTAACCTTGTATATTACTAAAATAAAATTAACTTGTTTTGCTAATTTATGAATTTGTAAATTTGTGTTATTTGGAACTAGTTTATATTTTATCTAATTAATTAATTTTGATTTATATAATTTATACTATTAATAAATAATATTATTTAAATTATTTAGTTTTTAAAAACAATTTAAATATAATTTTTTTATAAATTTATATAGATAAAAAATAATTATTATTAATTGCTAAAATTATATATAGTAACTAGTTAAATAATAAGATTTTTACTAATGACTAAAGTAAAAAATTTCTAATACTCAAAATATTAATAAAATAACAATCAGATTTATATAAAAATTCATGTTATATTTTATATAAAAAAGAAGAAAAAAATTAAAATTATTTAACAATATACAGTAATTATAAAAAAAGTTAATTAATTTTGCATGGGTTTTGCTAACAAAAAAAAAACCCAAACAAAAGTTAATAAGAAAAATTAAAAACATTTTTTAGAAAACAACTAATATGGAGAAAAGAAAAAGAAAATACAAAATTATTAAAGAATTGATACAAGAAAAAATTATGAAAGTAATTCAAGACCTAATACAAACTCTTAATAAAGTTAAAGATTTTTTGTATTTAGTAATGAATATAACATAAAATTTCTTTTATAAAAAATGTATAAAAGAAAAAATATAAAACAATTATTATATAAAAAAAAATAGAATCAACATGAAGATAAAAAGAAAAAGAAGATTGATAATCAGTATTGAAATATTAGAAGAAAATATTGGTTTAAATATAAATAAACAGGATTAAGTCACAGTAGAAGACAAGTTAAAGAAAAAAAAAAGAAAATAATATAATACGAGAAACATGACTAGAATCTATTAAAAATTTTATTAATAACAATATAAAACCATTATTAATAACAATATAAAACCATTATTTTATGATCTTATGAACTAACTTGATACAATCTTCAGGTCCGAATAATAATCCCAACTGGTATGACAGACCGTCTCTAGGCACTCTCGAAATAACCAAAAGATGCGCCATAATGAGATTATGCAGTTGCAATTTTCATTATCGTCCTGGTAAAATTTTATTTGTTCATGCGCATTACGAATACTAACATTAATACTTTAGTCCACCACATTCATCAAGTCTTATATTGTACACCCTTACACACGTTTTCGCGGACTCGTAACTCGTACGTACCACACAGTTCGACTCGCCAACGCTTATCGTTATCAATATAGTTATATAATTTTATTCTTTTTTTGTTGTTTTCACCTAAAATAATCATTATTTACCCTAACTTTAATAAATTCACTTACATTTTGATGCAACGCATACAGAATCAGACATTGATATCCTATAATAAAGAAATATCGGGCTATCTCAATAAAATAAAAACCAGATTTATTAGATAAATTTATCGCTATTGCTGTATTGATGGCAGCCCATATACAATGTATATTTTTGTAAATATTTACGGTTCCTATCAGTGCACAAAATTCTACTGTAAAATACCGGAGATTCCGGTTTAACAGAAAAAATCCCGGTTCAAGTTTTTGATAATCGGAATTTTTCCACTTGTTCAGAATTTAACGCATTCAGATTGTTACTATCGTTACTACCTCCGACTATAGATCCTAAACTCCGTTTAATAATGAGACACGTCATGCCACAATTTTGATTAAATTTCACCGATGACGTCATGCCCACGAAATAATTTTTAATAATTTCACAGCATCAAAAATCCCTCTTACAGGAGGGGAATTTTTTTTACTTAATTGGTTGAAATTTACATATTTATAAATAATTCATTGAGAATTAATCCACTTTTTAAAAATTGCTCTATTAACTGTATCAGACTTCTGACCAAAGTCATAGTAAGCTTTGAGAATAGCATGTGTTTTTTATATTATAAATTAATGCATGTATATTCAAACTTAACATGAATTCTTAAACCTAATAATGCAGGATTAGAAGTTACCAATTATAAAATCTCGATGGATTGTAAATTGGTTTCTTTTCAATAAGTGGCATCCAAACTTTTCTCTTTACTTTAAATGTTTTTGCTGTACGTTTGTTACCAATACCTAAATCGATTTCAGGTTTCTTCACTTTTAAAACATATTTCATATGCGCTTTCTTTATCTTTAAAAAACTAAATCTGCCACGAGCTCCATAATTAGGTTTTTTTCTGTATAATCCTTTACCTACAAAAGCCTGATCTAAATTCGATAAAATTATAAAATTATAAAATTTATATAAATTATAATTGTCAATTTAATATTACAATATTAAATACGATATTGCATACCAATATAAACGTTATCAGCATCCATCATTTTATATCTCCAAGCATGATCTCTAGCAGTTATCAAAGAATTCATGATCTTTCTTGATGCTCTCTTATGCGAGAATTCCATTTGTTTGATAGCCTCATTAATAGGTTTACCAGCAATTTGATTTGCTAAAAATCTAAGTTTACGTGGCGAAATACGAAAATTCATGGTTGAATATTTATGCTATGTATGAAAATAAATTTATTGTATAAATCTAAATATTTAATTTACTAGCCAACAATAATGCAAAGTAATAATACCTCTGTACATTTTTTCTTCGCTTCAGTATATCCTGGATCACCTTTATTAATCTCTTTATGTTCAACAATTAATCCTTTATTCTTTTCTTGTTTTTCAAATTCTTCATAATCGAATATCGGTGATGGTCCATATAAAGGTTGAGATGTTTTCAATTCATAAATTTTTTTTTTTTCTTTTTTATTTTTACGTTGAAATGGCCATAATTTAGGAAGTGAAGGAAGCCATCTTGCTGAATTGATAGGTGTACCATGAAAAGATCTACTAAAAATATCATTTATTTCAATTGCAATTGGTGATTTAGTGATTTAAATATTCATTATATTATTAATTTATCATTTTATAAATACCTTGCAACAAAATTACGAGACAAAATTGGTTGGCAAAAGGTTTGTCTTATCAAAACCGATACTAAAATAAAAAAAATCCCCAAGATATCATTGATATTATCTAATTTCAAAACTTTATTTTAAATGTTTCTATCGAATTACCAAGTGGTAATATTTTACTTCGTGAAGTCACATTCATCGTTCTCGAAATTTTTGTTGGTCAACTTATATAAATTTTATAACAAATTAGAAGATTGTATACAAAAACTCTTTGGTCACACTACATACATTTTTTTCGTTCTAATACATACTAACACTAATCTTTTTTTGATCACATATGTACAAATAAATGCGTACAACCATTTAGTAATATTTATAATGAGAAAAAAAAAGTCCATTTTACGTCATCAATAAAGCTAGTACAAAACTTAAGCCCTTGCATGCTGCGTTGGAAACTTAGTGTTGGCTGAATATTTAAGTCGTACTCAAAATGCTTTAAAATGAAATTGTAACCAATTGTTGGAAAATCCGGCCATACATAGAACAAATCATCTACGACTACCGTGCTACTTTGCATTTGTCACCTGATAGTTCGCTTCCCTTAAAGGAATTTCTCCAAAACAAAATTCTCTTTAAGCATTTTAGTACCCGGCAAACATTAGACTTTTAGTTTAACTTTAAAATTTATAGACAACCCATACGCGACAACGATTTGGGAATATAATTTTAATAAGGTCAATATAATAAGTTTATCATAATTTAGATTTTTCAAAGTAACAATGACTGAAGTTGTAGATAAGGCTTTGGCCGCGTTAAAAGGAAATAGTAAGTGTCTTTGTTTTTTTTTTTGTTACTTGGTTTGTTCTATTTTCAAAGATGTTATCAATATTCTTTATTTCAACCTTCTATTTTACTCAAAATTATTAAAGATCTAGATAAAAAGATTGAAGCATTAGCAAAATTAGAAGAAGAATTAATTGAAGAAACACCACTCGAGGTTAGTACTAAACGCGTATTTAAGATCGTATAAAAAAAAAAGATCTGGCTGTCTTGAATTATCAACTGCTCTTATTTGAATTTAATTTAATTTAATCAATACCGATACAAAAGAAGTAATGTGATGAAATGCTATACTCTCCTTATTTTTTTTTTTTTAAATGTTTAATTATGATGGAATAATTATAAAATTTTTTTAAAAAATTTGTACTTATCATGTACAATTTTATTTTATTTTATTCATAACTAGCCACAAGAAATAACTCAACTTGTACCATCCCTCAGAGATGCTTTGAAGGGTTCACAAACAGCAGTATCTTACGCATCACTTACTTGCTTAAATCCCTTCGTTTCTTTAATAGCGGAAACACACCCTTCTCAACTTAGAAATGTCGTTGTGGCTTTTGCTCCATCTGTAATCGATAAATTAGGTGATACAAAAGATAAAACGAGGGAAAATGCACTTCAAGTATTGTTAACTATGTATGAATCAGCGACAAATTTGAATGGTGGAACGAATATCATAACTGCATTATCTACCATTATAAAAGATACAGCATTTGGGCATAAACAATGGAGAGTTCGTGAGCAGGTGGATAAATTTACGATGATATGAATTAGAATAATATTTTATATTTATCTAAATTATTTAATTATCTAAATTATTTCATTAATTTTGTTATATTTTTATAGATTTTACAATGGATTGCTGCATGTTCAAAAAAAATAACAGATTTTCCTATAAGGCATTGGGTACCATACATGGTAAAGCTGCTCGAAGATCCACATGAACAAGTGAGGGAAACGGCAAAAGAAACTGTAATATTACTCTTCAAGTAAGAATAAATAAATAAATATATATATATTGAATTTTATAAAGTTATGCTATTCATTTCACATGTATTTTTCATATGTATTTGCTTTAATTTATAGTGGTGCTGCATCGCACGCTAAATCTGACTTAAAGCGTGAACTTAAAGAACAGTCAATTCGTTCTGGCATAGTCGAATACATACTTTCGAAAATTGTGTCCAGCCCGTCAAGTGATGGGCATAGTGAACGTAATAGTGTATATGATAATACTGATAATCATACAGATGCCGGAACTGAAATAACGGAGGAGGATTATTTTAGTAGTGGAACAGGGAATGAAGAAATTGCAAAATCCATAGATTCAATAGCTAGACCTACCAGTTCTGCTGATAGTGAAGTTGGTGTGATAAATGTAAGTAAATGCTAATTAAACCCTCATATAAATGATTCGTGAATCAATTATATTTTATATTTAGGTTGACAGTGCAAAAGAACTAGAAAGAGAATTCCAAAATTTATTATCTTCTTTTCAAGGGAGAGAATCTGAACAGAATTGGTTGGTTCGTGAACGTGGCATAAATCGATTACGTTCATTGGCTAGAGGAGACGCATTTTCAAGTTTTCCTGAACCATTTATTAATGGAATAAAATTATTAATGGATGGCATATTGAAATCGGTATGCTAAATTTTGATATAATACTTTCTCTTTATTATTATTGTTTTTATCATTGTTATTCATAATTTATTATTAATTTTTATTTTACATAATATAAATATTACTTCTGAAATTAAATAGCTTTCGAGTTTGCGTACAACACTTACCTTAGCAAGTGCTGGCCTTATCAAAGATTTAGCAACACAATTAGGTTCCACTATCGATCCTTTTGCTGATAATTTTCTAGCTTATCTTATCAAAATGACTTCTTCAACCAAAAAAATTGTTGCACAGGCAGCTGCTAATTCAGCAAACACATTATTAAAAAATGCTTCGTATCATGTTCGCCTTGTTAATCAAATTTGGCATGCAATGGAAGAAAAAAATTTGCAGCTTCGAAACTTCGCTATTGGTTTTGTAAAAACTGTAATCCAATCACATTCTGATAGAAAAGATGCGATTGAACGAACTGGTGGTGCTGAATTATTGGAAAAATGTGTAAGAAAAGGCCTAACTGATGCAAATTCTAAAGTGAGAGAAACATGCCGGGACGTATTTTGGACGTTTTATGAGGTCTGGCCAGAAAGAGGAGAAAAGTATGTCAATTTCTTACGACCTTTTAAAGTTTGAGCGCACACAAATACGCATACACACAAAAAAAAAAAAACAAAAAAAAAAAAAAACTTAATTTGGCTCAAACATCTTTAGGATTATGAAAAATTTAGAACCAGTTGCGAAAAAACAATTGGAACGCGATCGGCCAAAAACTCTAGTAGCATCACCACTGGCGACACCTACTAGAAATCGTCCAACAACACCTGCACCTCCACGAGGACGTTCCAGATCATCGAGTGTGGGTAAATCAAAAGGATCTCCATCTATAGGATATAGCCTAGATGATAACCATTCATTACATCCTGAATCACCTTCGAAAAATGTTAAAGAACCAACAAAACTTACACCTCAAAATCTTTCTTATATACGTGCTAAATCACCAACACCCATGACGAGAACCAAATCTTCAGCAAGCGCTTCCAGCAACACTTCTAGTAACTTATTGAGTCCAAAATTAACTCCAACAAAACGTGGTCCATCGAATCAAGCTCCATCTACTCCAAAAACTCCAAAAACTCCATCTACTCCAAAAACCCCACGAAAATTAACGATTATTGAACAATTACAACATAATGAGTGGCCGACACGTATTGAAGGCTTACTAGTTGTAGCACAATTAATAGTAAAGCGATCGTTGGAACCATCATCTGCGAAACAAAAATCATCACTTCCACCTGATGAAGAGTTAAGTTCAGTTTTAATCAACTTCTTGAACGATCCTGATCCAAAAGTAATTGAAAAGTTTATGGATCCAAATATCTTTGTTGAGCTAGCAAAAGTTATACAATTAGAACATTTTATACCAAAACTTATTTTAAGTGCTAATGATGAAAACAACTCGGAACAATCCCAAGTAATTCAATCGCATTTTCCTGGATTGAAATCAGGGATTGGCATTAATAAAGCATTAGCAGCTCTTAATAAGTGTTTGTTATTGTTAAATAACTCTGCTTCACAAAAAAAATCTGCTTCTGGATCGACATTTACTCAATCTCAAAAACGTAAGGTTATTAACGGAATTCTTATTTGGTTAAATGAGATTCTTGTACCTAAATTAGAAGAAGTTGAAAATAATGGGACACCAACTGGTTATCTAAGCGATCCCGAAAAATATAAACTCCTTGCAAATCGCCTTATTCCTATGGTATCCATGATGAAAAATACTTCCGAAAACTATAAACCACTTAGTGATTTATTGATTAATATGCATAAATTAAATCCAGACCTTTTTGAGTCTGTTTTATTCACTTTTGATAATAAAGTTATTGATGCTGTTGGTAATGTGGTCGGATGGGAAGAAGAGTTAGAAGAAGCTGTAGAAGAAGCTACAGAAGAGGAAAAATTGGAAGAGCAACGAAGGCAAGAGGAAGAGCAGCAAAGAATTTTAGAACAAGAAGAATTACAGAAACGTATATATGAAGAACAAGTGATCCAACAACAGCAATTACAATTACGACAACTACAACAACAAAAACAAGAACAACTTGAAAAGCAACGGCGTGAACGTGAACTTAAACAACAACGTGAACGTGAACGCGAGTTAGAATTACAGAAACAACGAGAAATTGAGCTACAGCGTGAACATGAACGTAAATTGGAGGTACAAAAACAGCGTGAAGCTGAACAGCGCGAACGTGAAATTAGGCAGCAACGTGAACTTGAGCGTGAGTTAGAATTGCAAGAACGACGGAAAATTGAAAAGCGAGAACGCGAAAGGGAAAAACGAGAATATGAACGGAAATTACAGGAACAATATCAAAGAGAGCAAAATGAACAACTTGAAAGACAAAAACGTGAGAAAGAGCTTAGATTGCGTGAACAATTAGAAAAGCGTGAGCGCGAACATGAACTTGAATTGTTACAACAACAACGTGAATATGAAATGCAGCAACAACGTGAATATGAAATGCAGCAACAACGTGAATATGAAATGCAGCAGCAACGTGAATATGAAATGCAGCAGCAACGTGAATATGAAATGCAACAACAACGTGAATATGAAATGCAACAACAACGTGAATATGAAATACAGCAACAACGTGAATATGAAATGCAGCAACAACGTGAATATGAAAAGCAACAACGTGAATATGAAAAGCAACAACGTGAATATGAAATGCAGCAACAACGTGAATATGAAATGCAGCAACAACGTGAATATGAAATGCAGCAACAACGTGAATATGAAATGCAAAAACAAATAAGATCAAAAACGCCAACTCGTGGCAGAGAGTATGAAACTAAACGTATATCAGATGTTTTTGATGGTAAAGATGGTCGATATGAGGTCAATGATAGAAATGGAAGAAGAGATTTAGAGTGGAATGATAGAGGAAGGCATCACGTTAAAGATAATGACATGAACGATATGTGGAACAAAGATAGTGCGTCTAATGGCAAAGAGCATTTTAGCGAAGATCACGAGGAAGATTATGATAGTATCAGTGAATTTGAGCTTAATCAAATGGATAATAGAGAAAAAAGATCTATTAATAAACCAGTGGGACGTGTGGTCTCACTTCCGCCGCCACCACAAGACTTTGGAGTTACTGACTTGGATTATCGAGATCCTGAGATGGCCAACTTAAAGGAACTTGTAGAAAAATTAGACATGGAAGAACACGCATTAAATGGAGTAAGTTTTATTAAATATAACAAACAGAAATGTATCATATAATATAAATTAATATTATTATTTTGTTTTAAAAGACAAACACAGCAGACGATTTGAGTGATATAGCGCCAAGTAGACCGACGAGCATTTTTATTTCGGAAGATACATTGAAACATCTTTCTAATAGTTTAACTGGCAACATTAATCCATTTTTCTTAAATCCAGAAGAAAGATTTAATGGGAGTGAGAAAGTATTAACTACTATACAAGAGGCTGAAACTTCAGAGATGCACTATCCAACGGACTCTATAACGAATAATGATAGAGTTCCATCATGTTCAGATCAGATATCGTCAAATACTGAAAAGGTTGATGGATCGATTAATTCCCAAATAATTCAACCAGAAGAAGAGATAAATGGAACACCTTCTGTAGAACAAAAAGAATCCCCGACATCTTCAGTAAAAAGTGCATTACCAGGTGCTCGTGATAGAGCTTTAAAACGTAGTGAATGTAAACATCAATTTTTTAAACACTGATTAAGAACTGATTGAACATTGCATTTAACATAATTTATTGCCTTTAGTCATGCAGGCAGGACCACCACTTCCAGCCTCTGTTCAGGAGAGGCGATTATTACTCGCTACTCACTTAGCACGTCTTAATAATCATGATGTAGATATAAGTCTTTTCCGTAAGCTGGCTAGATTGTCTAAGGAGACATCATTATCAGAGAGGGAAACCGCCTCAGATATCTGGGAAAATGGAGATAGATTTTCAGAACTAATAATAGCATTAATAGGATTCCTGAGCGATTTTGATGAGGTTTAATTTTATAATTCAAGTCGATTTTTAGAACATTCAAATATTCATTTCTTATTCCTTTTAATAGGCCACTGAATTAAGGGAGAATGCAGTTATGTTACTTGGTCAATTGCTTATTAATCAGCCAGATTACGTTAAGGGTTCCGAAAGAATAGTTTTACGAAGTTTATTGGAGTGTAGCTCTGATCCAGCTGCAAACGTAAGTTGTTTTTTTGTTCATATTTCTCATTGTAAAACAAATCTCTTAAATAATAATCGTAAATTTGTAGGTCTGTGGTCAAGCAGAAGAGATTTTGGAGAACTTTATACAAGAAGTTGATTGCAAAGTTGGCTTATATGCACTGATCGATATAATGGAGTCAACTTTATTTGGCAGTTCTCTGGGCGTAAGTTCTCCTGTTGGTGATAATATGTCTTCCAGTTCGCGGGCGTCTATGAAAAAGTACGCCTTTACGGCATTAGCTTTACTAGTTAAAAGGTTTGATAAAAAGTCTCTAGAAAGACAAATTGGTAGCATTATCCCATTATCAATCAAGGTTGTTTTTTTTAAATTATGTATCGAATTATAAGTTTCCTGAATTATTTGTAGTTCATCAATTAACATGTTATCAATTAATACTATTTGTCTTAGGGATTTAATGATCAGAAATCGGAGATCCGTAAAGCTGTTGTTGATACACTTGTTGCAGTGTATTCAGTTATCGGAGATGATAATACTTTATTCCAATACCTCGGAAGCCTAAATCCTTCACAAAAAAGTCTTCTTGGTTATTATTTTGATAAAAGCAAGAAGCAACGGGTGTAGCGATTGTAGTCAATTAAAAAAAAAACATAAACTTAACCGAGTCAATAATTTTGATATGGCTAAGCCGGCTTAGTCAATTAAAAACTTATAAGCTTAACTGAGTTGATACTTTTGATATGGCTAAGCCGTTTTAGTCGATTATTTATCTATTAATTTGTCATTTTTAAAAAAAAATTTTAAAATATATTGATAATTAAGGTTAGGCATAAAATTGGTATTGAAGGGCTTTAATAAGTTTAAGAATAAAGTAGTTATAAAAATTGGTTGGTTTTAATTAGGGCCTTAGGTGTTAGTAATATATGATTTTATAAAATCAGTTGAATATATAAATGTTATATTTAAAAAGCAAAATTTAGATATATTAATTAGCAAGTAATTCAATTAAATGAGGTTTAAACAGATTATAATTAAGATTGTGTATATAGTTCTATTATTTGTTTTTGTAAAATAGCATGTAGATAACATCTATATGTATTATTGATATTTTAAAATAATAAAATTTATATATTAAAAATATTATTTTAATAATTTTGTTAATAATATTAAAATTAAAGAAAAATATTATAATTAACTTATAGTGGTTATTACTACTTTTATTTTTAAGATTAGGATGCAGTTTGAAACAAAAGCAAAAATTAAATATAATAATATATATTTTAAATTATACAAGGTTTTTTAGAAGTTTTAAACATTTTTACTTAGTTTATCTAAATTTTGTTTTTTAGTATGTTTTTTAAGCTAAATAATAATTACTATAGATTATCTCTTAAATCATTTTCCAGGCAAATTTGCCTGAATTTTTAAATTAAATTTAGTATTTTTTAAATAAAACAATAAATTATTAATAATATAGAATACAGTTTATTTATAAAATATTTTATTGAAAATATACTTTACAAACTTTATT